GGGGGGCGAGGAAAAAGGCGAGGGAGGGGGATAGGGCGGCTCGGCAGGAGGCCGAAGGAGAGTGCACCACCGATGTGAGGAGGGGCGCCAGGGCGATCGCGACGCTGCGATCGCCGAAATCCCCCGGCCGAGGTCCCCACTGACCGGCGTTCATGTGATCGGCCTTTTGACATGACCGCAACACCACCTTCTAGACGCTTGTGCCGCCGGGGCGGCCTTCCCGCCTTTCCGCCGGGGGATCGGACCCGCGTCGTCGGCGCGTCTAGGCGCGCGCGCGCGCGCGCGAATGTGCCCCGCGATCGGCGGGGCTCGGGAGGCGACACACCGCGGCCGCCCTGCTCGCCGGTCGGACGATGGGGGCCATTTTTCGCCCGGCTCACCGCCAGCAGCCGCCCGCTGCCTTGCGGGCCCTGGCCAGCACCCACCGCCCCAGCCCCTCGCCCCGCACCTCCTGCCCCCTTGCCGCGGTTGTCCCTTGCACCCCGGCTTTTTTCCTTTCTTTCCCCCCCCCCCCGCCTCCCATCCCCCGCATCCATGTCTGCCTCCAAGCCCCAGGTGCGTCTCCCTTCGGGGGTCCCTTGCCCGAGCCCCGGCCTGGGCTGTGGCCTGCTCGGCCGGCTGCACGCTGTCGACCCATCCCGGACCCCTGGCCTGCCTGTCTGACCGCCCGCCCGCGCGCATCCACTTCGGGCCTGCCTCCCGCAGCACCCCTCGCTCCTGGAGCTGGTCGACCAGCGCCAGTCGCAGGGGATCAACGACAAGGGTGACCGGTCATTCACCGGGCTGCTGAAGAAGACCACCCCCTTCGTCGAGAGCGACGTCGACGAGGAGCTCATCCTGGACATGTACTTCGTGGAGCAGGTCAGCCTCTCCGGGCTGAAGATCACCGCCACCGACGCGGGTGCGTGCCTTGCTTGCGGCCTTGCCCCCCCTCCCTGCGCTCTGGGCCCCTGCGCTTGGGCACTGACACGCTCGCCCGCTCGCTGCCCGCCTCTCGCGCACACTCACGCACACGCACACACACACACACACACACACACAAACACACACACGCACGACGCGTGGCCAGACTCCGCGCCCAAGCGCATTCGGGTGTTTGTCAATCGCGACGACGTGTCCTTCGAGAACGGGTCCTCCCTGACCGCGGCATTTGTGCGTACCGCCCCTCCCCCCTCGCATATGCCGCCCCCCCCCCCCCCCCCCCCCCCCCCCCCCCCCCCCCCCCCCCCCCCCCCCCCCCCCCCCCCCCCCCCCCCCCCCCCCCCCCCCCCCCCCCCCCCCCCCATTCCCCCCCCCCCCCCCCCCCCCCCCGCGACCAGGGCTCTGGCACTGACACACAGCTGTCCCCACCCCAGGAGTCCGATCTGACGGCCGCCTCGCTGGCTGCCGGGTGCTACATCCCCCTGCGGATCGCGCGCTTCCAGCGCGTGTCCAACATCACCGTACGTCGGGGCCCTGTCCTGGCCCCAGCAGGCAGGCACACGCCCATCCATATACGCCCTCCTGCTCCGGGGTTCCGGCGCCACGCCGGCACACCACCACATGCGCACCCCCCCTTCCTGACCTCCGCACCGCCTGTCACCACGAAGATCTTCGTCCAGTCCAACCACGGCGCTGAGACCACGCGCATCCATGGCATCGACGTCTTTGGCATCGGCGCCGGCACCACCAACATGAGCGACCTGAAGAAGGCACGCCCCCCCCCCCGCCCCTTGGCCGGACCTTCTTCCCGGAAAAGGCCTCCCGATCTAACATCCCCCCCCCCCCCGCCCTCCTTTCGCCGCCCCCCTGCGCCGCCCTTGCCTGGGCCCCGGTCCCTTGCTGCAGGTCGAGCACTCGCACGCCTGATCGACACGCTTCGCCCGATGGCCCGAGATCGCGGGCCAATCCGAACACCTCTCTCGTCTGTCCCTTTGCTTTCCTGCAGGCCGGCCATCCTGCCCAATAAATGCCCCCTTCCCTGGATGTATGTATCGCCTTGTCCGGCCGATGTGCCTCGCGCCCCGTCCCCCGCCCGGTGTGTCGGTGTCCAGTCAGGGGGGCAGGATTTCGGCTGCTGGATCACGCGGACGGGAGACGGGTCATGCGCCCCTGCGGGGTTGGGTGTGTGTATTCCTTCCGCCGGCGTTGGCCTTTCTTTGTCTAACACCATTCTCACCTAAACCCGCAGACGCGCCCGCCGCGGAGGCTATTTGGGATCATGTTCCGGGTCCAATCACGGGCCCTGGCGGTTCTGCCCCGTCTGAACTTGCCGGTCCGATTCTTATATTCATGGCGGCGTCCTGCCCGGCCCCCATGCAACACATGGTCCGGCACCCAGGCGAGGGCGGGAGGGGGGGGGGCGGGGGGGGGGAAATAAAAACACACCTCGACCTCTGGACACCCGCCTGGGGACTGGGGATGGCGCCCCAGACGCTGCGGGTTTTCCCGGGCGCGGGGAAGCACCACCCGGCCCCAGCCGTTGGCATGTGCCTGGGGCTGGCGGCCGTCGGTGCGAGCGGGGGGCGGAGGGCGGGGCTTTTTTCGCCGGCGTGCCTCTGAGGAGCCGGGTCCCCTCCCGGTTTTTGGGCATCCTCCTCCCCCCCACCACCCCCTCTGTTTATGTTCGTTTCTGCGCGCGCGAGCCCGATGGCCGGCCCTCCTAACAACACTGGCGGCACCAGCGACGGCGGCACCAGCGACAGCGGCACCAGCAGCAGCAGCAGCAGCAGCAGCAGCAGCAGCAGCCCTCTCGGCGGGATCTACCCTTGCCAGCTATCCACAGAGAACTTGCACTTTCGGGAGCCGGGTCGCGACGCTCGGCGCCCGGGGCCTCCGACCGGGACCTCCCCCCGCTCGGCCAGCGTGACCCTGTCCTTTGCGCGCGATGGTGCGTATCTGCGCGTATCTGCGCGTATCTGCGCGTGGTGTGTGTGTGTGTGTGTGTGTGTGTGTGTGTGTGTGTGTGTCATGGACTTTGTATTGTCTGCCCCTTCATCGATGCATGCAGCCCCTCTCCTGGCGAGCACCCGAGCCCGAGCTGACACTGCGCATGCCACAGGGTGCTTCAACTTTTTCCTGGTCATTACCCGCGGCGGCTCGGCGCCACCGGTGCATGTGAAGGTGCGCACGCCGTCGTGGGAGGATCACCCGCGGTCGCTGGAGGCCTGACCCTGTCTCGTGTGGCTCCGCACCATCCTCCGGGCTTCCTGGCCGGGGAAGCTCGCTGCCGTGGCCTCCTGCACAGCGGCGGAGGAGGGTATGCTGCTCCTCCGGCTGAAGCCGGGCCCGGCCTCCGGGCCCCTGGCAGACCGCTTCCTGCGCGTGGCCTTCACCGGGGCGGCGGCCGTGCGCCAGAGCGACACCTTTGGCCGGGCCCTTCGCCGGCTGGCCTCGGTGCGCGAGGGCGGCGTGCTTGGTGCGTTGCCATCCGGGCCCGGCTCTTTTCCTCTCGCCCCATGGTCCGGAGGGCCGCCTGACTGACGTCCGGGAGCAAGACGCCGATGAAGTCCACAGTGTGCCCGTACTTCCGCAGGCCCCGGCCAGCCGGCCGGCCGATGTGCCCGATGATAGGCCCATCCTGCCGCGGCCGCTGCGCAGTGGCGACGGGCCGCGCCTGGCCGGCGACCAGTGTCTGGGGGTCGGGCCAGGCCCGGCCGGGGGCCCTTGCTCCGAGTCGGCCCGGCGGCCGACCGGCGAGGCGTGTCTCGCGCTGGGACGCGGCTCGGCCGGTGTTTCCCCCGGCCTCGGGGGGTCCCCGGCCAGGGCTCCCCCTCGGGCCATGGCCTGCGAGGAGGATCTGGTGGACCTGGCCGAGGTGGACCTGCTCGCGGGGCAGCCGGTGTTCACGCGGCATCTTGTGCCCGCGCAGGTGGTGGACTTGACGGCCGGGGCGCGTGCCAAGGCTCGGCGGCCGGACGCCCGCGCGCGAAAGGCCACCATCGCCGCGGCCGGCGGCGGGGCTGGCCCCATGGCGACCGCCGCGCTGGCGGCCCCTCGCCCAGAGGCGAGCCTGCTCCAGGCCGCCGGCCCGGCCGGCCTGGTGGCCGCCCATTTGGCCGGGCACCTGTCCCGGCTGGCGGTCTTGCGCCCGGGGCTGCCCTTTCTCCTGGCGACCGCCCGGCCGTTGGACGCCCTGCTGCGATTGATGGCGTGCGCTTGGCCCCCCGCCCCCCGCCCCCCGCCCCCCGCCCCCCCCCCCTTCGCCCTTCGCCCCTCGCCCCCATATGCGCACAACCTTGCATGCTGGCGACTTCGATGGCTGACCCGCCTCCCGGCGTTTGTCCATTCTTTTGTGCCCCTCTGCTGCTTGGGTCTTTGCATATATCTTTTTTCGGCTGCCCTCTCCCCCTTCCCCCCCCCCCCCCCCCCCGGCGGCCCACCGGCAGGGCACGCCCCCTGTCGCCGGGGCTGTGGGACTCCGGGCCCGCGGACCGGCCTCGGCCCGGGGCCCGGCGCCGGCTGCTGACGGCGCTGGTGTGGCTGGCGGCGCTGGCCAGTGGACGGCCTGCCGGCAACACGCGGTGCATCTGCGACCTGGCCCCGGGGGGCCCTGCCGGCCGGCCATGCACGGCGGTGGTGGCCCTAGACCCGGAGGAGGGCCTGTGCGAGCGCTGTCCGTCCGGCGGCCGGCGAGTGCTGGTGCTCTTCCCCCGGCCGGGGGTGGCCATCCGCCATGTGGCCCGGCCCTGGCGCGAGGACGCGTCACTGGCCCTGCCGGCCGGCGGGAGCCTGGGGCTGGTGATTGGGCTGTTCTCGCTGCCGGGGCCCGGGCTGAGGCTGGTTTTGCGGGCGGACGTCCGGACCCCGGCCGGGGGCTGGGCGACGCACCTCCACCCGGTGGATGACCCGGCGCCGGGGTGCCCCTTTGCGGGCGCCGCACCCATGACCTTGGACCAGGTGACCCCCGTGGAGCCTGGCGTTGAGCGACGTCTGGCCTGGGCCTCGGCGCTGGAGCTCCTGCTGTGCTACCTGGTCCCGGCGTGATGGCGCAATGCATGCTGTGTGTGTGTGTGGCTTGTATTTGCTTCGTCCGTTTGGATGGGCGAATGGAGCAGGGGGGGGGGGGGACAGATGCGCGCGCGCGCGCGCGCGCACTCAGAGGGGACCCATCTGGCGCGGCGGCAGAAGGATGACCCGATCCACGGGCCGGTGATCGTGCTCCTCGCGGGGCATTGTCTCGGGGACCAGCTGCTCCGGCAGGCACATGGCCACTGTGGCGGGCGGGCGGTCCGGCGCACGAATATGGTCGAGTTAGTCGGGCGGGTGCGCCTGAGCGCCAAGGGGGGCGGTGGATGCCGGGAGGAGGGACGCACGGAGGCGCGGCCGTGGCGTGCCGCGGGCGTCGGCCCACCGATCGCAGAAGCGCACATACTCGTCGTAATAGCTGTTCGGGGTCAGTGGCTGGCAGGGGGTGTGCGCGAGAGGAGGAGGAGGAGGAGGAGGAGGAGGAGGAGGAGGGAGGTGGTGTGATTGGGGCGGGGCCGGGACGCACCCGCGTCCGAAGCCGATGCGCCCGCCCTGGGCGTCGAAACCAAGCCCGGGCATGATGATGAGGTCCAGTGGGGTGGGATCGCCTGCGGCCGAGTAAGCTGTCGAGGGAGGTTGTCAATATCGTGCGCCAGGTGGAGGGGGGGGGGGGCGGGACGGGCGCACCGAACTCCGTGTCGCGGTCGATGATCGGCTCGCGGATGCCCCAGCGCCCGACCGGGAGCGCGCGCCAGGCCTCCAGGTCTCGGACCCGGACCATGTCCATGCGGCAGCCGCTGGCCAGGCCCCCGGCGTCGGTGGCCCCCGGCGGCCAGACATACGGGACAAACAGGCGCTTGCCGGCCGCCAGCAGGGTGGCCGCCAGGGTGTCGGTGTCTACCTCGCCGCGCTGCTCCCCGGCGTCCGCACAATAGATGGCCACATTGCGGGCCTGGGGGATTTCGGGCTGCTCGAGCAGCCGCGCCAAGAGCTGCTGGTCTGCCGAGGGGCCGGCGGTCAGTGCATCCGACGAAGCAGGGAGAGGGGGTGTCGTTTCACACGCACACACACACACACACACACACACACACACACATGTCAGTGGAGAGATGAGGACGCACTGTCGGACCGGCGTTGCTGCACATTGGCAGCCCCGGCCATCAGACCCTGGCGGAGGTGCTGCCGCAGGAGGCGCTTGGATGCCTGGACGGTGGTGCCAGGGGGGACGGGGGGACTCATGGCAGCTGGGTGCGCGCGGGCGAGTATGGCTGTGCGAAGGGGGCGGGTGCAGGTGCAGAATGGCACCGAACAGGAGGGCGGGCGGGCGGGCGGGGGGGGGGGGGGGGGGGGGCGAGAAGGAAAACCCTTGCCCGCCGGCCCCCCCCGGGGCGGGGGGCCCCCCGGGGGACCCCCCGTTGAGGGGGGGGCGCAACCGGCCAGGAGGGGCCGCCCAGGGGGGGGGGGCCAAGGCACAAGGGCCCGAGCCCAGGGGGGGGGGGGGGGGGGGGGGGGGGGGGGGGGGGGGGGGGGGGGGGGGGGGGGGGGGGGGGGGGGGGGGGGGGGGGGGGGGGGGGGGGGGGGGGGGGGGGGGGGGGGGGGGGTGGGGGGGGGGGGGGGGGGGGGAGAGGACAGAAGAGAAACCCATTGCCCGCCGGCCTCCCCGCGGCCGGGGGCTCCGCTGGGGGACCCGCTGTTGAGGCGGGGCGCAAGCCGTCACGATCGGCCGACCAGCGGCGGAGTGCCAACGCACAGAGGCCCGATCGCACGCGAGAGTGGCGAGAAAGAAGCGGCGGCGGGGGGGGGGAGGGAGGACAACGCCTGGGGTGTATTGGTGGCGTTCGGCCGATCGTACGGGGTGCGTCGCCGCGCACACACGCGTCACGGGAGCCGGGAATACAAGGACAAGGGGGGAGGGAGGAAATGGACGGAGGAGGGGGGGTGGGTGGGGGGGGAGCACGGGCGGTCACTGCTGCTGGCACTGGGGGACTTGCTCCATCTCCCCGAGCGAGGAGAGCGCCATCTGGGCCACCTGCTCGGAGTCGGCGCTCAGGTTGGCCGACTTCACCGAGGGCGAGGGGGGACGCGGGTGGCCGGCCAGCGCGGCCAGCGTGGGGTTCCTGGCCGCCGGGCCCGGCGACCCGGCGGCCGCTGGCCGCGACCAGGGGCGCTGCCGCAAGCCCGGCCCCGTCGAGGGGGAGGTGGGCGACCCGGCGGCGGCCCCGGCGGCCCCGGCGGCCCCGGACCCCGGCCCGGGCCCGCGGCCAGACTCCAAGCGCCGGAGGAAGGCCGAGGCGGTGGGGATGCGCCGGCCGGCGCGCAGCCCCGGCGACCCGGCCGGGCCGCTCCCCGACCCGGGCCGAGGCCCGGCATCATGCAGCTCGGCCGGGTGCGGGGCCGCCGGGTGGGCGGACGGCTGTGCGGTGCCCGACGGGCAGTCCGCCGCCCGGCCCGGGGTCCGGGGCTCGGCCGTGGCCAGCTCCCGCAGCCGGCGCTCCGCGTCACGGAGCTGCTCCCGTGCGGTGGCCAGCTCGGCGCGCAGGCGGTCCCGCTCGGCCAGCACCTCCAGCTGGCAGCCGGCCGGCGGCCCCGCACCCGGCCGAGGGGGCTCGGCCTCGGGGCCGGGCACGCTCGCGGCCCCGGGGCCGGGGTCGGCCAGCGGCCGCGGCCGCTTCACCGAACCGGGGCCCTCGCCATCGGGCGAGGGGGAGCGCCGCCGGCGCCGCGCCTCGGGGGTGCTTGGCGACCCGGCGCCCGGCCCGGGCAAGGGGGCCGCAGGATGGTCGGGCGACGAGCCCCCGGGACCCAGCGGCTCGGATTGCGGCGTCGAGAGGAGCCCCTCCGAGGGGGGGCCCGGCTCCGGCGGGCCCGGCTCCGGCGGGCCCGGCTGCTTGGGGGTCTGCTCGGCGGCCTGGCCGGCGGGGTGCTCGGCCGTGGCCCGGGGCGCCGGGCCGGCCCGCGTCGCCAGGCGCTGCGCCAGGTCCCGGTGCTCGGCCATGAGGGCGCGGTTTTCCCGGGCCAGGCGCTCGCACTCGGCGGCCCTCTGGGCCAGGTCGGCCTGGAGCTGGTCCCGGTGCCGGGCCCCGGCCTTCTGCTCGGCCACGATGGTGGCCCGCTCGGCCACCAGGAGGTCCCGCTCGCGGGCCAGCGTGGCACAGTCGCGCTCCAGCTGCGCCGCTTGCCGGGCGGCGGCCGCCGCCTCGGCGCCCAGGCGCTCGGCCTGCTGCCGGCCACGGGCCACCTCCTCCTCGAGGGTGGCGGTGCGAGCGGCCGCCGCGGCGGCCTCGGCCTTGGATGCGGTGGCCGCGCGGTGCGCCTCGTCGGCGGCCTGCAGCCAGCATGCCCCCTGGGCCAGGGCCTGGCGGTGCCGGCCGGCCAGGATGCCCAGCTGCTCGGCCACCGGCCCGAAGGGCCCGGACAGGCGGACATCCGGCCATCGGCATGCGTCGGCCGCGGCGGCCAGGGCACGCGCCCGGTCACCCGGAGCCCGGGGGGCCTCCCCCGGGGGGGCCTGCTCGGCGGGCCCCGCCCCGGCATCGAGGCCGTCACCCAGCTGCCGGATGAGCTGGTCCAGGCCGCCGGCCAGCTGCCGGGCCGTCAGGGCCGACCGGGCCTGCAACCCGGCCAGCTCCTCCCCCAGCGAGGCGCTCTCCGAGGACAAGGCCAGCACCTGGGCCTCGAGCGAGCGGACCGCCGACCCACGCACGTGCAGGTCCTCCTGCAGTTGGGCCGTATGGGCTTCGGCCACATGGAGGCGGCTTTCCAGCTGCTGCAGGAGATTTGCATCGGGGCCCGGCGGCCCGGGGTCCGGCTCCGGCTCCGGCTCCGGCCCGGGCTCCGGCTCCGGCCCCAAAGAGCACCGAGCGCAGGGGGGCTCGGGCGTGGCCAGGGGGCCGGGCTCGGGCCCCGGGCCCAGGGACGACCAGCGGAGCAGCTGGTCTCGTTCGACACTCAGCCGGGCGATCTCCCGGCGGTACTGCTCGATGAGCACCGAGTCCGGGAGGACCTGTGCAACGGGGAGGAACAGGGAAGGAGCAAAAAAAGAAAAAAAAGAAAAAAAAAAGGCGAGGAGCAGGTGAGTCCCCAGGAGCAGGCGCGCAAGGCGGCGAGGGGCAGGCGAGCATGGCCGACCGAGGCGGGCAGACGGTCACGGACCTCGTTGACCTGCGGGCGGTTTTTGACGTCCTTGGCCCGGGAGGCGAACTTCAGCGTGCTGAGGGTTTCCTCGAAGTCCCCGGGGGCCGGGGTGGCGGTGCAGATGATGACCGTCTGGGCATTGCCGCCGAGGGAGTTCTGCAGCACGCGCGTGATGCGCGAGTCGCGGTAGGGAATGTGCTGGCCGGCCTCGGAGGTCGGGTCGGCCGCCAGCCGGGCGATGACATTCGTCAGGGCCAGCAGGCTGCGGTTGATGGCGCCGCCCTCGCGCAGGCGAAGCCCCTCGGCCCCGGTGCTGCGCGCGCGCTCCGACCCGGCCAGATCCACCAGGTTCAGGCAGGATATCCGCACGGCGCCGAGGGCCGGGGCGCCGGGTCCCGCGGGGCCGGGCGCCGGCGAGGCGGCCGGTCGGCTCTCCACCGCCACGCGGAGGATGGTGTGCGACCGGCTGCTCCGGTCGTTCATGTTTGTCGAGCCGACGTGACGCTCGGCTGGGCGGAAGG